TACTACATAATAGATGAATAGAAATAGGACAGTGATGTTAAAAAATGTCATATATATTACATATGACTGTTCCTTTTTTTCTCTCTCTCTAATATGCTTTAGTTTACTTATGTTAGATATATGATTACATTATTTGTAATATATATAAAAATATATCTGAGTTATATCTGAGCTTTCTGATATCTATGTATTTATCTGTTTGTCTCAGGTCTATACAGCCTGTTTTGCCTAGGTTCCTATTAGTTTATGCTTATTTTGGGAGAATATTATGTTTATATATATATATATGTAATTTAAAAATATTGAAATACTTTTAAATATAAAACTATTTTTGTAGCGTCACCAAAATGACAATTCCAATTTTATGTCAATGCATAATATCAAATGTCTCCTAGTTACTGCAACATTGTTTCAGTAATGTCTATATTTAAAATAGACATATATCTTAATTTTTTAGCACTCTCTTTAACTATCATTAGTGTTCCAAATTGGATGACATATGATTGTTTATGATATCTAACCATAAAAGGTTGGTGATCTGAACACAACAAATAGGAGTGAAAATGGAAGAGACAGAAATAAACGTTTCATAAAAAGCAATGAAATTTAATGAATGGCAGAAAGAATAGAAGTGATAAAAAGAAAATTACTAATCATTCAAATTGGAACAATCAGAAAAAAAAGAAAACAGAACTCAAAACGTTTGGAAAATTGGAGGTGTCAAAAACATAAGGAACAATTACACAAATAAACATCTTTTGGCCTTGAAGCCCCATGATACTTCTCTGTGCCAATAATCTCAACTGTTTCTAATAAACACATTCAAACTCTTTGAGTTTCCAGATATGCACTAATTTAGTTCTAGTATGAATTCTTCTTAAAATATTAGCCATGATTTTGAGACTGTATGTTTACTGATGCATTTATCTGAATAACCAGAGACTTTATGAGTGTCTGAAATATAAATTTCTTCTGCAAATGGGAACTTACAAAGGAGTTGTTTTACAAATGAGAAACTAATGCCTGGTGAGTTGAGTGTATTGCTCTGAATCACATGGATAATAATAATGAGCAAACCTACACTAACTGACTAGATATCAGGCACTGTCCTAAGAAAGTTATGTATTTTGATTGATTTAACCTCATAATACAACTTATCAGGTTAGTACTATAGTATTACTATCCTCATTTTACATTGGGAAGATGAAATTCAGAGAGGTCAAGAAATATCGGGTCAAACAGCTATTAATTGAAGAGCTAGGAATTTAACCCATGCCCTCAGGCTCAAAGGTTTTTTATCTACTGCATCCTTATTTCAATCATCAGGTAAACCAAGAGGAACCAATTGTGATGATTTTCAATTCTAGAGTTTATGTGCAGAATGGCACACATTTAGGGAAATTGCTTTAGAAATATTTCTTTTACACATGAAAGAGAACACACATTTATTTTAACTACATAGATATACTCTTAATAATTAAACTGAAATAAGGCACTCACACTCAGGGATATGCCTACAAATCATTACATAAAATCTCTTTAAGGAAGAGTAAGCCTCAGTCTTTGAAATTACCTAAATAACTTGTTAATATTGAAATATGGAAATACAAATAAAAATTAAACCTGAGTTGTGCTTAGTAAGTATTCAAGTGTCTTGAATCAAAAAAGCTTACTGGAAGAACATATTCTGAAAGCCACTTACAACATTCCAATTAAAAATAAATAGCAATTTTTAAAACATTATATTCTAATAATGTTTAACAAATTTCTAAAATGTTTCTATAATATGAAGAAAAACATTAAAATTATATTTATAAATATTTCACTTAATAAGAATTGAATTTTAGAATACTCACATATGCTACTTAAAGATTATTATTTAGTGGAAAGAATTTTAAAAGAATGCTGTTCCATTTATGTTGTGGGGTAGATTATCATTCTTGTACATTGAATTGAAACTTTAAAGGATTTACAGCTTTTCAAAATAAACTGATATCCACAGACAGCCATTCACATTAGATAAAACTCTTGAACAACAAAGTTTTATGTAAACAAATAATTTCATTATCTTAAATTATAATAGAATGTAATAATATAATTGCAAGCAGTGACCGATATAATTATATTTGATTCGGTAAATTAAGAGTAGTCTATAGAACTCATCAAACCCCTCAGACAGAAGTGACAAGGGGTCATCTAGGTTTTAGACTGCACAGGGACATCTGCATTCCCACTTCTGCATCTTGGCTGGGGCAGATTAGAAATCACGTAGGTATTAAAAAGAATGGAGACATACATAGCGTCATTGACAACCCACATTAAGCCATCCTTAATATCAAATGTCTCCTAGTTACTGCAACATTGTTTCATGCTTTATATTAGGAAGGAAGGAAAGAAGAAAGGGAGGAAGGAAGAAAGGAAGGAAGGAAGGGAGAGAGGGAAGGAGTGAGGGAGAGAGAGAGGGAGGGAGTGAGGGAGGGAGAAAGGAAGGTAAAGAAGGAGGAAAGGGGGAAGGAAGGGAAGGAGGGAGAGAAGAAAGGAAGGAAGGAAGAAAGGAAAGAAGGAGAGAAAGAAAAAGAAAGAAAGGCATTAGGCTCCTAATAAAACAGGAAAAGGGGTCAAATTGACTAAAGGAATGTGGATTTTTGAGGACAACTATACAATCAAAAATAACACAGTTTTCTAGAAAAATAAAGAGGACATTTGCCCTAATTTTAAATGCAGTTACTATGAAAATATTATTCCTTAAATGTCTATTATTTTGAATAAAACTTATTGTTAATATTGTTAAATTCATATTGTCAATTCTTACTGTTACTTAGTTAATAATTTACTTTTATAAGCATTTATTTATTCATTATAATTTTCAATTTGCATCTACATGAAAAACTAGAGAAGACACGTGTCAGAGGGTATTTAAAACTCACTAATATTACCTTCTCACACTTATTTTTATTTTGTTCTAACTTGGTATTATGCTTATCAAAAATTATAAATTCTATACTTCAAAAAACTTAAGGCAAAACTATTCCCTAACCTATTCTAATCACTTTGATGATAAATGACTGCAGATCTCCACTTAAATTGGTAAAATAATTCAAACAAAAATATTGAGACATGTTGCAATCTGATTTTATATATTTTTTGTACTTTTTGATATACTATGTCACATGTATATTTAAATCTGTTAATAATTTCATCATCCTAAATTTTCTTTTACAGCAATAAGATTTAACTTGTTTTTAAAGACGTCAAACTTAGCTGAGTGAAATAGAATTTCAGTGAAAAATATAAAGCTGGAAAGATATAAAGAAACAATACATAAGAGTGCTTAATTTTTCGGATAAAAAATCAGAATGACAAAGGTATTAATTATTACAAAAAAGTAGTATTTAAAAACTATACTCAAGTTCATCTGGCATTCAATTCACTTCTCTACCTACTGAATCTAAGAACCGGAAGCCATTTTGAATGCATCGTATTTTCCAACTCCAACTGAAAGTTTGCAGTTACTTAATGACCTCTTAAGTGCTAATTGAACACTAATTGAATGCCTACAAGTTAGGGAATTTATTAATCCCTGAGCCATCAATTTGTTAAAGATCTCACATAAGAAAGAAATATATTATGGAAAGGCATTTATACTTTAGCCCTCACACATTAATCCTCATGCTTACCCTGGGTTGAGGGGGATAAGGGAGGATAGAGATGAGGATCTGGGGAGGGTCTGAAGGGTAAGGCATGTATAGAACTCAATTGTTCTTTCGCATAATAGTGTTTCAATTCTTAAAAGCACATATTATGCTCCCCAATAGAGCTCATGTTTCTTTACATTTTCCATTTCCTCTTTAATCATGTTTCAAATCCTCTTTGTGATTTCCAAGGTGTGACCTTAGTGCTGAAGCAAGACGCGCAAATGATTAGATCACCGTGGGACTCAGCTGACATTCACAGACTCTTTCTAGATAATTCAGTCAACATTTTAATACGTCAGATCCACTGGGGCAGTTTGTTTGCGTTCTGTTGGCTTGCTTGCTTAGTTGTTCGTCTATTTGTTGTAAAGAGGAGTAGCTCAAAGTCAATCTAATTCCGATAAATGGCCAGGGTACAAAATTCCTGGCCCAGACACTGTGTTTCTTTATTATTATTATTATTTTAATCCTAAGATTGCAGTTTTAATAGTTACAGAATTCCTTACATTCATACGAAATTTATATGTAAATATGCCATGTTTACACTTGACACAGTCACATGGACTGATTCTAAGCAAAATCTTCAATATCTGAATAAGAACACGTGGCTTTTATAATTTTGCTAGGATCTAATAATTTTACAATGATAATTTTTAGCTTTCTATGTTATTTCTAACCACCCAGATATTTGTGATTTCTGATTATGTTTCCCAGTATTTTCACTATTTTCTCAGCTCGGCATTTTTGTGGAAGTATGTCCTGTATGTTCCTTTAAATCTGATAAATAGGTTAACAGACTAGAACATAAAAAAGAGTCCTGCAGAATTCAAAAAAACAATTCGCTCCAGAATGACATAACATTTATGTATGATTATTCAATTAATTTCTAATCTTCCCTGTGAGTAACACTAGAGACCTTGCCTAGTGCCATACTGACTTTAAAAGTACTTTAGACTGCCTTTGATGCTCTGCTGCCAGTACAATGATTTACCATTTTACACTGAGGATGATAATTCCTAGTACTATTTTGCAAAGTAAATTTGGCATAGAGTTAAATATCATATGAAAGTTTTTCATGTGATACATAATAAAAAGCTTACTTCAAGGCATACTTTAAAAGATTAGGAAAATTGTTGCTTTTATGGGATTATAAATCTTAAACAATTTGAATTTCAGTATTTCTACAAACTCATTAAGTAACCCCCCCACACACAAATATATTTAAAGACGTATTTCTAATACATAATCTACTTCATTGTTACCATGATAGTAGTTTCCTGGAAGCAATAAAATCCAGGAGATTCTTACCGAAAAGCCAGGGAGCTTTGGTTGATTGTGGAGTCAGGGAGTTATTCACAGCATTGACTTGGCTTCCATAATCATTCACTGGAGAAAGATACAGCCAATTAAAACAGATAAACATTGTCAAAGTCTCATATTTGTACTCATGATGCATAGCACAATGTTGAAAAAGACTTCTGGCAATTTCATTCACATTGCTATGCCAAATTAGCAAACAGTGGATCTTTAAATATATTGTAAGGCAATATTTCCATGGGTAACAGTAGTTCTTTGTCAAAAAAGCATAACAGTTGATGTTTAAGTCATTCCTTAAATAAATGCTGTAGGTAGATAAAACTAATTGATTTTAGGTGGTATTCAGTAACTGTTTGCTCTCATATTTGTATAAATGTGAAAAGTTTTAGAATTTTATTTTGCTAAAATTGTACTGTAATATTTTCAGGAAGAAAAGTTAAATAATGTAACATAAAAAGTATTAGAGCTATGAAAACAATTTCTTAATTTTCTACGCTTTCTAAAAATATATATAGTCACAAATCTCAGATTGAATGAACACAAATATATCTTAATTTGCATGGCTAAAACAAAACCAGAGTAAACTTGAACATCGTCTGAGATGCCTTGGTTTTAAAAGGATGTCCATAAATGAACTAAAATGAAATGAGAAATAAACTTACAAGTGTCTCCACAGGTGTTCTTGCATTCTTCCAGTGTCTCAAAGTTGTTCATATTGCCCAGACATCCACCATACTTAAAACGTTCACACTGTTTTGTCTGATTGTTATAAAAATACCTGGTAATATAACCTCGACATATTCCAGGATCTTCTTCCAAAAAGCAGAAATCTGGCTTTCCTACAAATTATAAAAATGTCAGAAAGCAATATTCTTTTTTTGTAAATAAATTACTGAGTTTAATATAATTTATAGTAACTGACTAAGTTATTTAAGAAGTAAGCATAAAAAATTAAAAGCAAAAATTGAACTATATTCACAACTATACACTAATAAAATTACCTATCATATTTCAGGACTGGCATTTCAAATTCTAAATTTCTCATAGTAAATTGATAGGAAATTATGACATTTTTATGAATTTAAGGAGTAAAAGAATTATTTTACCATGTACCACTCTTGGATTGAAATTAAAAAATATTATGGTGAAATGTGGTTTAATTATTTTTAATATGTTTATCTGTATTAACATTCAGGAAAGGTCTGTGAACATTTTAAGTTATTGAGTGTGGCTTCTCAGAAAAAGCAGTGTGGTGCATTGCATCACTAAGAATGGTTTAAATTTTTAAAAGTTGAAAAAGAAGATTTGTGGGTATGGAAGTTTTCATGGCTAGCCTTAGAAGTTCTTGAGTTCTTATGCGGGAATTAATATCTTTACTAGGTAGGACATCCTCTACTGCTGTGTCATTTTTTTTCCTGCTTCTTGGCATTGGAATGACTTCAGTAATGCAGAGGCAGAAAGGAAATACATGTTCAAGGATTGGAGAGGCTTTTGCAAAAGACTAATACCTCTTCTTTGATAGTGCTCCAAAGCAGGCTAAACTCAGCTGTCACAAAAGTTTGTGCCACTGTGATCTATATCACCAGCTATGTCTACATGCATGAACTGTGAAAAGAAGTGAGCTAATTTTCAAAATTATTATGCTCACAAGGCATTGTGCTTGAATGTTTTAGAATGAACTCGAAATTCTTCTCAATTTTTTTATTCCTGAGACTATGTTACCACATAGGCAAAAATGAACTGTGGTACCTTTTTCATCTTAAAGCAACATGTTCTTCTACATCAGAGAAGCAATACCCATGAGTGTTTTAAAAATTAAAAAAAACCCTATATATTTAATAATATTAATGATTTCTGCAGCAGTTGCAGATCTACAAAAGAACCAACTCCTTATTAAAAATTATTTTATTAAGTAAAATTTTCTACTGTAATATACTTTTAAAAGTCTATTTACTCTAACTTTTCAATGTATTAATTTGAAAGTTAACTTTGTGTCTTCTTCATTGCCTTTTGTTCTTTCAAGTGACTGTTTTTTTTATTTTTAGTTAAGTGTAATAATATATGGGGAAAGGAATAAAACAATTCTTTAAATATTTTTCACATTTATAAGGTAAAAAATACATTCAGTTACTATCATTTAATTTGTTTTAGTCTAAAGGTGTACTTTTTATGAAATTTTAAATGACCCGAACAGAAGATGCAAGAATTTTATGTTTGCCAAAAGTGGATGGGTGAAAAATATTGCATATAAAGAACATAAAAGTCTAACAGATTATGCTGATAAGTATGATTAAGAAACTGTACATATACATAAATATGCACACCTAACATGTACCTAAAAATATTAAAAATAAACAAAACAGAACAACACAAAAATAAACTGTACAACTCCTAATATGTAACCACAAAAATTAAAAACAAAACCAAAAAATAAACTGTATTATTGTTATTATTGTATTTATTGTATTAATGTTGTTATTTTGCATATGAAGCCCCATTGGGAAACATGAACTTATTTGAAGACAAAGTTGAAAATGCACACATGTAAAATAATTCTTTTTTGGCCTGCAGTTTAAAATACAGTTGTGAATCAAGAAACTAATTTCCCATATTTCTCAGGTAAATAAATGGACTGTCTTACTGAATTTGCTTACATAATCCTTGCTCTAAGTTGGTGCTCAATTGAAATTGAGTAACAATGCAGACTGGACAAGCCACAGCATTATTACTTCTAACTTTTGTTTGGATCTGAATACTTGGTAATCGTCTTGGACCAAACTTTCTTTCAAAGGGATTGTATTAAATCTCAAATTTCTTTATAATGGTCCAATGCTAGGAAGCATAATACGAAGTTAACTTGAAATTGATAGAAGTCTTTTTTATAAATAGGTGTTAGCATGTAAGCATTTTAAACATTCATGTAAATACAGCTTTATTCTTTAACTTTAATATATAATATGAATTATGAACAATTGAATTTTGAATTATAAATATATACTTTATAGCATAATTGTATATAAAAATATTACCTGTATTTTTTTTTCTTATTCTATGTTTTTGGTAAAACGTCCTAATATTTAGATATTGGTATTTTCTTTCACAAAAATATCTTCTTTTACTTTGTGGACAAAAACTTCTTTATCATAAATGTGCCATTTTATTTGATATTACAGATAAGGCCTTCATTTAATCGAAGTACTAAACACTTTTGTCAAGATGAGTTTAATATTTATAGGAAGTTTTTTTTTAATTGTAAGTAAGTACATACATTTACTTATGTTTCTTGTACAAACTTTGCTATTACCTTTATTTTATAAATTTTGATTACAATTCTGGTCAGTGAATTGAGTCTAAAGATTATCAATGTGTCACAGATATTTTCAAGTCTTTCCCACAAAAATAAATCAAAATAACTAAAACTAAAATGCACTTTGAGTTTCATGGTCTTTTTGTCCCTAAACATTTAATCTCTTTGTTCAATATTTTCTCATTGGAAATGTAAATGCCGCAAATGACAATTGGACCAAAGCAGTTTCTAGACCTTTATTAAAAGGAGGTTGGTTTCCCTGATCCATTGATAACATTTTTTCTTGTGCTGATATATTTATGAAAAAGTAATTATTTTAGGCTACAAACAATAAATAATATGATTTAAATTACACAATAAATGTACACTTAAATGCTAGATATTTATTTTTAAATGTCTTCACTTACTTTTGCATGTGTAACTAACTGCTGGCAACTCAGAGACATGCATCCATTCAAGGGAATATTTGATAAAACTTGCTAAAGCCACACAATGCTGAGATTAACAAGTGATTAGAGATCAGAGAAATAAAGTAAGACTCAAAACATATAAATCTCTATCTGGAAGATGTTAAAATAGCATGTGTGGCTCTGGACTATGATTGAACTAAATCTATATATCATGCTGCATTAGAATTAGGGTAAATATGGTGTTTGGAGCCTCCTCTGACAAATAACAATGTTTATATTTTTCTTATTATTGAGTATGTCAATTGAAGCACACAATACATCATTTCAAGAGTGATATATATGATCCATCTGTCATATGGGTTATGATCAATCTCTTTAATGGGCTTTTGATCAACCTCAGGGAAACTTAAGAATTGAATATTGATACTGAATCAAGGACCAGAACAAACAAACAAACAAACAAACAAACAAACAAACAAAAAAGTGAATATCTAAATGCCTTACATAAATGTTTCAAATTTACAAATGAATGTTTACCATTTTGAAATGTTGTCTTTATCATCTTTCCGTTACCTGTAATCAAAAGAATATATGCATATCAATTGCCACAATTTATAACGTAATATTGTGAATTTGGATTTAACAAACTAGAGTAATGTATTTATCACTATTAAAATTTTTCTTATATAGAATGTTTTAATAAAAATTAAATTTCATTTTTTTCTCTAAAAAATAATCTTTTCTGTTTCCTGTAATCATGAAACTACCTCATTTCAATATAGCAATGTTTTAGGAACTATGACAAAACTTGCTAACACACTTACAAAGCTGAGAATTCATAGTTTACTGTTCAGAATATCTATAATTAAACTAATTATTTAAAAAATGTGAAATACGAAAGTAATTCAAGCAGGCTATTTTGCATATAAAAATAATTTGTTAATTACCTGGGAATAAGAGTGAAATTAACCAGAATTATTTCCTTTCCTTTTTCTTTCCCCTGCTTCATTGTCTCAACCCAATTGCAAGTTTCATTATTATTACTAAGGTAGAGAAGAAATGAAACAAAAGTCATCTGGGACACATTGTTTGGTTTAACATTTGAATTGACAGAATCATTTCCTTCAAAACCTAGAAGGCGAGTTGTCCTACCATATTCCAAGTATGAATTCTAAATTCTAATTTAAATGATAGGTAATGAAAATCAAATTGACAAAATAAGTCTATGTAATTTAATTTGTTCACATAGACATTAGGAAAGTTGAGTGATATTTATTTTGCTGTGGAATCATTTGTTTTACAGAGGAAATATTTGGTCAAAGCAGGTTACAATTAGTTACCTAACCAGAGACCAGTTATATGGCCAGGTTAGTTAGTTACATGACAGAAAGGGAGAGAGCCAGAAGAGGGAAGAAAGAGAGAGAAAGAATATGAATTGAGTTGTAAGCCTCTTTTAGCCACTGGATCATCCTTTTTCTCTTGAAATAGTTCTTCTATGAAGAGTAAAATGTCTGTGAAAGGGAAACTAATGGATACAAACTTCTTTTCAAATCATACTATGTTTTATTCAATAGCCTTTTTAAAAAAGAGGGTGTGTGTGTGTGTGTGTGTGTGTGTGTATAGCTATATCTATTGAGGTAAGTTTATTTACTTTGTTTTCATTGCAACTAACCAACTTAATATTAATGTTTTGAACTAGATTATAGACTGTCATATAATATGACATTAAAATATTTAAATATAAAACTAATATGTTATGATTTAATTGATAAGGAGAAGAAAGGAATATATACATATAATGAGTACATAAAACTAGAACACTAAGCAATTTTCATTCCTTATTTACCGACTGACAATAGTCATAGGGTGGGAACATGAATGCTTGATTCATACAATATTTTATGGAACATCTATTTTGTTTGTTTATTGTTTCATTCTAAATAGGATTAATTTAGCTAATATACATGCCAACTAACTCAATGTGGGTTAGCACACTAGAATTTTAAGTGTACTTATATTACCAATAATTATCTTTGTGTAACCTAATAATAATAACCATGGGCTCTCGAATTTGTCCATGAGGAATTTAAGAAATGAATATACTGAATCATGGACCAGTAAAAACAAACAAGCAAGCAGACAAACAAAAAATTGAATATCTAAATGCCTTACATTAATGTTTCCATAATTTGCATGCCAAAATCAGTATGACAGCAATTAATAGTTAGAAAAAATTTATAGCAAATTATCAAGTTTTCTTAGATTTAGATAGGACAAACACTTTACCAGTGCTTTTTAAGGAGTAATGATAGAATATTAGGCTAATTTTCATTCTAGTACTCTTTTGAATTTCAACTTAAATGAATTAGTTTTAATGTTTCATTATGAACATTAAGATGTAAGACTGATAGTGAAAACATCGCAGAATTTGCATTTGGTTGATAGACATTGGCATATAATACTTATACCTCAAACCAACGTATTGATTTTTGTTTCTAATCTACTCAAAAGTGTACCATATGTAAATAATGATATGCTCATCTGGGTGTGCAATGAGAGTGTCAGATAAATATCAATTGTGTGGAGTTGGTAGAGAGTGTTGTCCAAATCTTTTATATCCTTAGTGATTGTCTGTTTACCTTTTCAGTCAATTACTGAAAAACATGTCTTGAAGTATGTAAACTGAATTGAGAAATTGTATACTCTCACTTCTGCCAATTTTTTCTTTAAAAATTTTGGAATTCTCTAATTAGGACCATGCACATAGACATTGAGGATTGTTATGTATGTTTTATTAATGGGCCCTCTTATAAATATCTTTCTTCTACCTGGTAGTATTTCCTATCCTGTAGTCTACTTTTACTAATCATTCTTATGGTTAGTGCCTACATGATATATCTTTTTCCATCATTTCACTTTTAATCTCTCTGTCCTTATTTTTAAAGGGCCTTTCTTATAGACAACACATAGTTCTTGATTTATTTTTGCATACAGTCTGATAATATATGCCTTTTAATTGGAGTGACTGGACCATTACATTTTAATTTAAGCTAATTACCATTAAAGTTTAGTATAAACATCACTAGCTGTTTGATTTTTGTTTCTCAATTCTTCTTTGTTTCTGTTTCCTTGTTTTCATGTCTTCTTTAGAATTATTGTAATTGAGTATTTAATGATACTTTTATCTTCATTATGGGCCTATTCACTATTTTTGTCTGTTTCGTTTTTTTAAAGGTTGCTTTAAAGATTGTAATGTACTCATCCATTACAGTCTAGTGTCACGTAACTTATGTCATTGTCACCTGTAGAAATCCCAGAATTTTACAATAATCTCATTTTTTTCATCTTCTTTCCTGTGTGCTTTAAGTCCTTTAATACTAATTGTACTGCTGCTCTACCAGGAATAAATTTCTGCAGACAATGTTGATTTGAAAAGTGCTTACTTTAAGGAGTAGATTAGTGATTGGCAGTTTTTTTCTTCTCTTTTAGTTCTTTACTTTTTCCTTTTAAATTTTTCTTTCTTTTTTTATTTTCATAGATTTAGGGAATAGAACTATAGTTTTGTTATGTGGTTATATTTCATAGTGGTGAAGGGGATTTTAGTGTAACCATAACCTAAATAGTGTCCAGTGTACCTATTAGATCCCTCACTCTCCTTTCATCCTTATATCCCACTGAGTGTCCATTGTCTATTTGTCTATTATTCTACTATAACCACATGTAAAGATTATTTACCTCCCACTTACAAATGAGAACAGGTGCTATTTGAATTTCTGTTTCTGAGTTATTTCACTTAAGATAGTGGCCTCCAGTTCCATCCATGCTGCTATAAAATACATGATTTTTATTTTTAATGGTTGAGTAGTATTCCATGGGGGGGTATATGTGTATACATAAATATCATATTTTCTTTACCTAATCATCTGTTAATGGACACTTACGTTGATTTTATATCTTTGCTATTATAAATAGTGCTGTGCTAGAAATTCAAGTACAGTTATCTTTTTGATATAATGATTTATTTGCTTTGGGGTAGATATCCAGTAGTGGGATTGCTGGATAAATAGTCTATTTCTTATGTCTTTGGGAAATCTCTACACTGTTTTCCATAGAGATTATACAAATTTACATTTCCAGCAACAATATATAAGCATTTTCTTTTCTCTTAATCTTCAATATCTGTTATATTTTGTCTTTTTAATAATAACTGTTCTGCTGTAATATGATATCTCACTGTGATCTTAATTTGCATTTGTGTGATGATTTGTGATTTTCAGCAGTTTTTATATGCTTGTTGGCATGCTTCTTTTGAGACATATTTTTTTGTGTCCTTTGTCCATTTTTTTAAATGGTTTGTTATATTCTTGTTGAATTGTTCGAGTTACCAGTAGATTCTGAATATTAGTTTTTGTCCAATTCATAGTTTGCAAATATTTTTCTCATTCCTTAGGTTATTTGTTCACTCCGATATGTCTTTTGCTGTGCAGAAGATTTTAATTTACTTGTGGATCAACTTTAATTCTCATTTGCCTATTTTTGTTTATTTTCAATTTGCTTTTGAGGTTTTAGTCACAAATTTTTTGCCTTGGTCAAATATCCAGAAGAGTGTTTTCTAGATTTTTCTTCGAGAATTATTATGGTTTTAGGCCTTACATTTATGTCATTAATCTATTTTAATTTTTGTATAAAGTGAGAGACACTGTTCCACATTTATTCTTCTGCATATGACTATCCATTTTCCCAACACCATTTATTGAATAGAGTGCCCATTCACCAGTGTGTGTGGTTTTGTCGATTTTATCAAAGATCAATTGGCTATAAATGAATATAAATAACTGTTACATTCAGGATGGAGGCTGTACCCTGCAAAGCCACAGAGGCAGAGCTGCACAAGACCATGGGAGCCCACTACTAGCATCAGCATGACCTGAATGTGAGACATGGAGTCAAAGGAGATTATTTTGGAGCTTTAAGATTTGGCCACTCCGCTGGATTTTGGACTTGCATGGGGCTTGAAGACCCTTTGTTTTGGCCAATTTCTCCCATTTGGGAAAGCTGTATTTACTTAATGCCTGTATCCCCTTTGTTGCTAGGAAGTAACTAACTTGCTTTTAATTTTAAAGGCTCATAGGCAGAAGGAACTTGCCACCTCTTGGAGAACACTTTGGACTGTGGACATTTGAGTTAATGCTGAAATGAGCTAAGATTTTTGGGGACTGTTGGGAAGGCATGATCAGTTTTGAAATGTGAAGAAAGGTGGTTTGGGAGGGACTGAGGGTGGGGTAATATGGTTTGGCTGTGTCCCCATGCAAATCTTATCTTGAATTCCCTCGTGTTGTGGGAGAGACCTGGTGGGAGATAATTGAATCAATCATGAGGGCAGGTCTTTCCCCTGCTGTTCTCGTGATGGTGAATGAGTCTCAGGAGATCTGATGGTTTTAAAAAGGGGAGTTTCCATGCACAAACTCTCTTCTCTTGTCTGTCATCATGGGAATTGTGCCTTTTATCATATGCAATGATTGTGGGGCTTCCCAAACCACGTGAAACTGTGAGTTCATGTAATCTCTCTTGTA